AAGCCCCTGAGGGAAGAAGAGGGGGAAAGGTAGGGATGTGCTCCCTAGTATTCCCCTGAAGAAGGAAAGAAGTGTGGGCATGCTAGAGAGAGGGAGGGATGGAAGGAGGGAGAGAGAAATGGAGGGAAGGAGACAGGTATCCTTTATCTTGAGAAAGAGATCTTGTCAGGGGAGGATCTCAATAGAATCTTCATCAGATTTCCATGTGTGACTCTTCACAGTCATGGTCTTTATTGATTGGTTGGTGCCAAGGGAGGAGTCATTAGTCATTACATCTGGATTTGATATCAGCAATGGCATCCCTTTATCTGATTTTGCTGCTTTTTTGGGCTGGAGATGAAACACAGCCGAAGTCTAGATGTTATCTCTAATTTGACCAAAACTCTGTCTCTGTGGTCAATAGACCCAAGGCTTTGTTCCTAAGAATGTTTGATGTTGACCAGAACCTCATTGTCCTGAGGGCTGAATGCTTAAGGAAGTGGTTGAGCAAGGTTTTTATATGGGAGTCTTATGAGGCTAATCTCTAGCTCCCTTGTTTCTCTTGTAAAGGAGTCTAAACAGAATGACTAGCCATATGAAAGGTCAGGGGGTCTAAACCATGTGACTAGCAACATGCTAGGGGAGGAAAGGTTATATCCTGTGATTAAAGTCCTAGACCAGTGGTCGGCAAACTCATTAGTCAACAGAGCCAAATATCTACAGTACAAAGATTGAAATTTCTTTTGAGAGAAATTTTTTAAACGTAAACTTCTTCTAATGCCACTTCTTCAAAATAGACTTGCCCAGGTATTTTGTGGAAGAGACACACTCAAGGGACCAAAGAGCCGCATGTGGCTCACAAGCCAAGGTTTGCCGACCACTGTCTAGACTACTAATACTTGTTTTTACAGTTTTGCCTGTTACTAGGCACCTGAGACTTTCTTCCCTGGTGATATTCTGTACCTGGACTATTATTTTTTTTTTGTTCTGTTCATGCTTGTCTAACGAAATCATAAAGATAAAAATTTTAAAAGTATTTTTTTGCCTTGTTCCATTAAGTACTGGCCATTGATGTTTTAAGATGCTCAGAAAATTCTGTTTGTGGGATTTTTTTGAAGAACACATATTGATGTGTGTGCTAAGAATTAAGACAAATGATAACTGAAAGAGATGATAAAAACTAGTGGTTTCCTTGGGGAAATAATCACAAATTACTGTCAGACTGATTCCAATAGGAACATTATGTGAAATGTTTTTTAAACAGGTCAACCAAAGCAGGAAGGCAGAAACTTCTGAGGATATCTCTTTGCTGTGTGTTTCCATTATACTCCTACCTGAGATCTTTCAAGTTATGTTATTCACTGTTCCAGCTACAGTGTCGTGGCCAGCACTCAGTTGGAAATGAGAAATATGAGGTTGCAAGAAGGATACTATTTGTGAATCCTCAAGATAACTCCATAGTTTCACCATATTGGTTCACCATTGGATGCTGTGCAGGAGAACTTCCACTGACCCCTCACGATCTACTCTGTTACCTGCCCTTCCTGTTCTGCACCCTGGAGACTGACCTTGTAGACCAGTGGTTGGCAAACTGCGGCAGCTCTGTTGACTGAGTTTGCCGACCACTGCATTAGGGAAAAACACTTTAAAAACATTTTAATAATGTACTAATGTCTTTAACCTGAAGTCAAAACTTCTGGATAAGGGTAATGCGTTATGCAGTGGTCGGCATGTGGCTCGCCAGACGCAGTTTGCCGACCACTGGTATAGACCACTACATACAGTCTTCCTCTTCTCTGCCTTGTGTTGGGTTTGACAGCTGGGGTGGGTATGTAATAGGACTGGATGTGATAGGATTGGCTATGTTCCTCTATTTTCCTCTATTAAGTGCCTTCTCCACATATCAATAGATTTCCTCTCTGGGTTCCCAAAATTCCTCCTCCTCCTTGTTCTTATGGTTTATAAGGACTCTGTGGTGCTACCTGCCACAAATATTATTGTCTTGTTCCTTCTTGGTGTCCTTAAATCCTGTCTGCACCTTTGCAAAGAATCTATTAAATTCTTCTCAGTAATCTGTCTCTTTTGCCTTATTTCAAAAGGAAACACTCTCTTCTAAACCACTCTGCCTCCAAAATATAATCAAATAGAGCAGGGGTCAGAAAACGACCGCCTTGTGGGCCAAGTCCAGCCTGCTGCCCATTTCTGTAAACGGAGTTTATTAGAAACAGCCATGAGCACTTGTTGACTTACTAAGGCTGCTTTTGAGCTACAATGGAAGTGAGGAGTTGCAATAGCAATTGTATGGCCTGCAAAAGTCTAAACCCTGATTTAGAGGAAAACCATAATGGGTGAACTTTATCATTTTTATCAGGAGGCTCTGGGGCTAAAAGGCAACTTGGGAGCAGGCCCACAACAAGGCCATGGGAATCTTTAAGCCCCAGGTCTATACAGGCTTGCCACAGGGCATTGCGCTGCTGTGCTGATAGCAGTGGCAACCTGGGAAGTCAATCTTTGTCATTTTATGCAAAAAGAATGTGACCAAGCAACACTAGGAGGCATTTGTATTTAAATGTGCTTATAATTTGTGATTTCATAATTAAACCTTTTCCTGCAGAGAATAGCTCTCCCCAGTGTTTCAGCATTTCCCTATCAAAGTCAATTTGTACATATTCACCTCCCTCACCAGACTGTGAGCATCTCCTGGGGGAGCTCAGGTTTTATTCATATCTGTGTTGGCCAGTGGCTGGCGCACTGTAAATATTGTTTGATCAAATGATAACATGTCTTTCAGAAAGGGAAAAGAAGAAATGGGTGGTGGGGTTGAAATTTCCTGGCCCATCCCCTCTATCGCAATAAAAACAAATTCACAAGGAAAAAAAATAGGTGGTATAGAATATATTAACTAGGAAATACATGAGCGAATGTGCTCAGACTCTGAGCAAGCATAGCTATAAGAAAATGCTGCTTGTTCCTCTAGAAAAGGGGCCCCTCAGGGCAAACCGAGTACATAAGTTGCAGGGCCTTGTTCAAAATGAAAATGCAGGCCCCTTATTCAAAAATTAAGAATTTCAAGAGATTGTCAGCAGAGCTTGAAGCCAAGCATGAGCCTCTAAGACTAGGCAGGTGGCATGCCCATGACGCCGGCTTTGCCTGAAGGATTCCTGAGGAAGAGGCAGCCAGTGGGAAATCAGTGAAGACTTTTGAAGGACTGCCGGCTGCTCAGCCACTGTGAGGCGGTGCGGACCTGCGTGGACAGTAATACTGTGGGCCCCGGGACTCTCTGCAGTGAGTCAGCAATGCCGAACCTGGAACAAGCCTTTATCGCTGACAAAGAGTTTGCATTTATCTCAGACCCTCCTTCCAGAGTGAGGTCCTCTTCCCCAAGCCCACACACTGGCCTTCACCCTGACCAACCTGCGTGTTCCCCCACTTCTTGCTTTCAGGTTAACCCCAGGCCATCTAGGCCACCTTGCTGGCCAGGAGCAACAGACCACATCTGCACTAAAGCATCTCAGGCCTAACCTGTTTAGATGTTTCTTTTCTGGATGATGGACAATTCCCGCCATAATACCCGTTTTGGTCTGTTCGGGCTGCCACAGCAAAACACCGCAGTCTGGGTGGTTTTATGGACAACAGGAATGTGTTCCTCACGGTTCTGGAGGCTGGCAGCCCACGGTCAGCATGCCACTGCGGTTCGGTTCAGGGCGATAGACTGCCGCCTTCTGGCTGCGTCCTCACATGGTGGAAGTGGAAGCGGCTGGGGAGCTTTGCAGGCCTCTTTTATAAGGCTCTAATCCCACTCATGAAGGCTCCACCCTCATGACCTAACCACATCCCACAGGCCCCACACCCTAAGATCATCACATCGAGCATTAGGATTGCACCTGATGAAGTGGGGGTGGGGGAAGGCACAATCGTTCAGACCATAATACCTAACTGGAGAACAATGTATATGCTTGGATGGTCTCTTGATCTTGTCCTCAGAACCCTCCCTGCCCCCTTCCTCACCATAAAAGGGATCTGAGGGGGCCATCCCAAGCACTCTGCACCCTGTGACAAGACACCCAAGGTCTTTTCTGACTCTAGACATGCCCCCTGCCAACAGCTGAACCTCTCCAGCCCCCCGCCCTTGCCCACACACCATACTCACCTCTTAAAAGTGAGCCTCCAGGATGTTTCCAGGTGTTAAGAACCTTAGGAGATGAACTTTGAACTCTAGCAAGGACTCATGACGATTGCTTGCTGTTGACTGGAGTGGGTCCCCATTTTTGTTTCTTCTAGACTATTGCCTTCTCCCAACCCTTCATCCACCCCAGCATCCATAAAAGGGGCCTTAGGGTTTATGTCTAGCCACTCTGCTCAAGGAGCTCCACCTGCTTTCTGCTAAAGGTGGGGGGTAGGGGGGGGCGCGCCTCACAGTGTTAGAAGGTTACCCTTCCAGCCCTGCTGGTGACCCCTCCCCGCCCACGTGTCCAAGGTCCCAGAGGCCAGGAGGTCTGGGACACTGGGTGGCTCCCTGTGCAGGGGAAGGTGCCAGAACGTGAGATTCCAGGCATTGCGGTGTGAGACCTGAAACTCGCCCACAAGGAGGCCGATGTCTCAGAAGCACTGAGCTCTGGAAACCAGCGGAGTGTCTCTTCTGAATCGGACCAGCGTGTGCAATGCAAGGCTGCCGCTGGGAGAGCCGAGTGGTGCTGAGCGAGCGAGCGGAGTTTGCCTTTGATCAGAAGAGTCAGCGTCCCCGGGGGACGTCTTGGCTCTCTCTGCTCTGCCTGCTCCTGGGCTTCCTCAGGCCTCATTTGTCTCCCTGGGACTGATATGGCCTCAGTGACAGCAGCTCTCCACCAGCTCCCTGTCCCCTTTGAGGAGTCAAGCTTGCTTAGCAGGCTGCTGGTTTTATGTGAAGGATAAGCAGCCTTGTCAGCCCATCTCCTACCTGAGTCTTTCTAGCCACCGCCCCCCCCCCCCCCAACTCCTCCCCGCTTATACACCAACCTCTGTTTTCTCTCTCTCTCTTTCAGGGTTCTCGGTGGCACATAGACTTGCAGCCTTGGGCAGGCCCTACTCAGTCACTGGATGAAGAAGCCTCGAGGTTCCTGAGATACATCAGCACCACCCAGGTTGTGTTTCATGCGCGAGGGGGTTTGGAGATGATGCAAAAGATACTGATTGCCCCCCTTTAATATATATATATATATTATTGCTTTTTTACAGAGAGGAAGTAAGAGGGATAGAGAGTTAGAAACATCGATAAGAGAGAAACATCGATCAGTTGCCTCCTGCACATCCCTTACTGGGGATGTGCCCGCAACCAAGGTACATGCCCTTGACCGGAATCAAGCCTGGGACCTTTCAGTCTGCAGGCCGATGCTCTATCCACTGAGCCAAACCGGTTAGGGCTGATTGCCCTTTTGAAGAAGGATTTGTTGGTAAGGGGTGGGGAGGTTTCCAGGGACTCCTGAGGGGGACTTGAGAGGGACGTGGTTTCTGGGGCGTCGCTGCTTGCCTGTACCCACTCTCTCAGAGGCAGAGAAGGGTGCCTTCCACGCCCTTCAGCATCCTCTCCCTTCCGGAGCACCGCTGTAGTCCTGACACATTTCCATGATTCATCCTGATGCGTTGTAAGGATCCACTTTAGAAAATTGCTTTGGAAAACCACTTGAAGAGACAGATTGGCTCCTGTGAGTAGGCAGTCAAGTGTGTCACAAGACAAAACCCTCATCCGGAGGAGGCTCAAGCTTCGTTCTCTCTCTGGAGGTCCCGCCTGCCTGCTTTTCTGCAACAGACGCTGGGCAGACAGGGACGTGCCAGGCCAGAGAGCAGAGGGGATGCCACAGGCAGTTCGAGGAAAAGCTTATGAATCCAGAGGCTTTCCGCTCTCGAGGGCCCTTTGATTCATTACTGAGCGCTGGCCTGTGTGCGTGACTTAACACGTTGTGGCAGCTCCCGGCCAGCTCGGCGGGCTGAGTCGGTGCCCCGAGCAGGCAGAGAGATCGTCCGTGAAGGAGAGTCTGTGATTCTTGACACATTAATCAGGAGGTTCCGTTCTCAAGTGGCCTGATCCTGGGGGGAGAGAGAGGGAGGAGAGGAAATCGAGGCCAGAGGGGAAACTTCGCCCTGAATTGAGAGGTGCTAGTAAATGAACAGCTCAGGCTGCCTGTGAGGCGCGGGCCCACTCAGCACGCCTCGCCGGCTGCTGGGGTGGGCACTGGGGACCCTGGTTCTTTGAAGCCCCTTCAACCCATTGGCTCTCGGCATCCCACTCCTCCTCCCCCTAAACCTCACAGACAGCAAAGCCCATTTTTCATCCACAGGAGAGAATGCATTTCTAGGTGCTTAGGAGGCTAATTTAGGAGGTAGAAGGAAGTCTCATTTCTCTGATTCAGTCCATCAGGGATTTTAATATTCGTCACCTAGACACGGAGGTAAAAGGCATTGAATTAATCATGAAGAAGGGGATGATAAATTGGTCCCTGTGCTTTACATACTTTTTATCTTATTCCGCTGCTTCAGATGAAGTTAGTGGCCTCACACAGACTTAATTAAAAATCCTGAAACTGTAAGCTTATGGTTTGGTTTTACGTGAAGAATAAGAAGCTGGACGTCTGTGCTGTGACTTTTAAGAAGCCCCGAAAGGCCCCTGAGAAAAAGCAGAGATGTTAAACTTGTGAGCTGATTTTGAGAACGATGGGCTCCACCCCCCCAAAAAAATTGACCAAGTGAGAGCCTCCTCATTCCATTTTATACTGTATTGCAGGTTAATGCTCTATAACTTCTGAAGGTTGTATTTACTTAGAAGAGGCACTTAGGCATGCAAAGGTCATTTCAAGCCCCTCTTGGATCTTTCCCATGACTTAGGGGCTGAGAGAAAAAAAAATTCCAAAAGGAGAACATAAAAGCATGCTACTGTGTGCTCTGATGTTGTGACCCTGGGCAATTTATTTTGCTTTTCTGATCTTGAAAAGGAAGAGTACTAAATTGTTTCTAAGGTCCCTCTCAGTCCTGTGACCTTGTACTGTGCTGAGAGTAGTGTAGGATTGTTTTTTTGTTTTTGTTTTTGGTTTTGGTTTCTTTTTGGGCACCTACTATGTGCCAGGCCCTAGGGCTATACCACAAGTCTCAAGAGGCGAACAAACTCGTTGGAAAGGCAGAGAAATGGACGTACAATGTTTATTCAGCTTGGTGAGTACAATCATAGATTTTTGGTTGAGGAAGCTCATTAGGAGGATTTTTGTCCTCCAGAAAGCATGAGCTAAAGCTCCAGACTTCAGAATGGTTTTGTGATCAGGAATCACTTTACCCAGATGAAGTCCTGTGCTTCTGTGTACTTCCGGGTCACTCAGAGCCCAGCAGGTGGGAGCTCATCAGAGATGACACTAATTTGTGCTTAAACAGAATCCTTTGCTATCCATGGCTCTCTCCCCCTTTCTATGCAATGCAGAGTTTCTTGGGTGCTTTGGGGGCTATGCTTCATTTAGGATTCATTTTTGAAAAGGAAAATGTATAAAACTGGCAGAATATTAGAGTCACTATTGCCTAAAATTTCCAGTTAGCAGAAGTGAGTCATAATGGGCAAGGAAAAGAAATTAAACCTGTGAAGGCACTAAAGCAAATTCCACCCCCGTCTTCTCTGCTGCTTTAAAAAAAAAAAAAAATGTTTCAATCAAATCTGTGTTCGAACTGGTACGGCAAGGCCCAGCATTTGCTGTGTTCATCATTGATTTATTCCTTTCTCAATTCAGCGGATGTTTGGTGAGCTCCTGCTTTGTGGCTGGCACTCTGCTGGACACCGGCTGGGAGGCCAAACCTGAATTAGATGCCCTGGTGAGCAGCCAGGGTGCAGGAGAGCTTTGTGTTCCAGCAGGGTCAGTGGGCGGGGGAAGCTCCCCAGGCTCAGGGAGCTGAGGAACAGGAGCCCTGTGCGTGGGACAGGGCGGCACGGGACTGCCAAGGAGATGGCACTCCTGCTCTTGCATTGCGGTGCCTCTGGTGGCATGACTGGGGCCCTGTGTTTTAATGCGGCACCTGAGGATGTGCGTTTGGGTAGAGGGTACGGAACATCAAGCTCCAGCTCATCAGGTGTTGTTTTCTAATGTGAAAGAGCACAGTGACATCTCTGAGTTTTGCAGCTGATGATACGCTGCTGCTAACTAATGGTTAAATCATAAACACAGAGCTCTGTTCTCAGGGAAGGCTCCAGATCTGGCTCTTGATGGCAACCCCCAAACCATATGCCTCCAGGAAGCATGCTGTGCAGCACAGAATTAAGCAACAGTTGCTGGTTAAAAAAATAAAATGTGTTTTAAACTATCTATCTATCTAATCATTTACCATTTTAGGGTTTTTTTTTTGTTTGTTTGTTTTTTAAGGATAACATTAGAACCTAGATTCTGGAAAGAGACTTTAGAACTTCATAACATAGTACTTATTATGCTTACTATTACACGCACACATGCATACAAATACAAATTAGGATAAAAGCAAGAAAAACACAACCCTTTCCTTGAGATTTTGCCTTTCCAAATAGTGGTATTACATAAACATGCAGTTGGTCAGTGAAGTGTTTCTTGCCAAAAGTCCACAAACTTTAAGGGCTCTCTTCACCAGGTTCTACTTGTGGATTGGCAGAGAGGTTATTCAAGCTTCTGCAATACAACATAAAATAAAAATAAATTATATTCCTTTAAGTTAAATAACTAGAAAGCATTTTAGAAAACATTTTTCTTCCTGGAGTCTATTTTCCTTTGTGTATACCTAATTTGCTTGTATATGGACAAAATTATTAGGGGAATTAGAAAAAAGGGAGGGGAGAGAGAGAGGGGGGGGGGGAACATAATTACTGGAGTTGGAGCTGAGCTAGGAGTTACTGCCCTCACTTATTTGCTTTCAAGAGGGTTTATGGAAGCCCTAGCCATAAATCTTAACAAGGAAGTTTGAAAAATCAATATTTAATTAATTTTTTGGAGCTGAATTTTACTTTAGTTGTTTTCAAAAACTAAGTCTGTCAATGAGATGGTTAAAATGGAAGAAGTGTGTTTTATTTTTGAACTAGGAGAGGAAAGGAGAACATTAGCAAAGAGATTGAATGGTAAAGAATGGCTTTCCAATAGGGATCTATCTGTGCACGATGAAGTCTGTGGAAGAAGAAATGCTTCAAGTGTCCTTTTTAATACACTAAAAATCTACTTCTAATGCTGGCAGAGGAGGAGCAGCTGAACCCCAAAGCCCTGAATCTTGACCCTCAATACTTACCCGACTCGTAGAGGCCTCTGGCTGACTGTCGGTACTGCCTCTCTGGCTTTGTTCGGGGTGGGGTTGGAGGGGCTGCCGTTTTCCGATGAAAGCTCTAGCCCACATGTGTCAAACACAAGGCCCGCGGGCCAAATCCGTCCCGCCACGCCTTGCAATGTGGCCCGCACCGCGCTGTCATCACTGCACTCCGCTGCGTTTCCATCACAATGACAGTTTATGACTGTTCAGTAAACCATTCGGCCCACGATTTAGGCTGGATTTTAGATTTTGGCCCCTTCTCTGATTGAGTTCGACACCCCAACGTCTAGCCTAAGAGTAGCCTCTTCTCTTAATTTGCTAAACCACAGGGCTGGCCAGCTGAGCATTTCAACGGGGCTTTACGAAGGTACCGTAGACCTCCGGCATAAGAATCACCTGGTGAACTTGTGGAGATGCATGCATCATCAGCCTCAAAGATTCTGATTTTATAGACCTGGAGTGGCGCCCAGGAATCTGCATCTTGAAGTACCTCCCAGATCCATCAGAATGTAGGGGGATCACACGTTGAGGAACACTGTAGGGGAGGCCAGAGTTAGGTTTTAATGCCGTTAGGAGGAACTTCTGGATAAGAACGATGAGCTTCTTATCATGACATCGGCTATCATGACAGTTTGTAGAGAGGGGTCCGCGCAAGAACAGCAGTAGAGGGGCGTCATCGAGGCACTTGAATGAGCTTACCCCAGGAAGCTGCCCTGGAGCCAGGAGGACCAGGTGCTTGGGGCCCCACAGAACTACCCTGGCCTCATAACTGCTGCAGGAGGCAGGGTATGAACAGAGTGCCAGTGGAGGTGCTGATGTTTAAGGCACAGCAACTTGCCCACGAATAAAAGCAGGCCCAGCGAACACACAGCTCTGACTGATTAGATTAGCAGAGTGGGTGGGTGGAGACTAGCAGGTGGGGAAGGCAGAGGCATAGTTTCCATTTATCTGAGAGAAAAATAACAGGAGTAAATTACACAAGTTAATATGTTGCCACACTCAGTTAATAAATGTATCCTAGTTGCTTGGGAGAACATTCAATTCCATTTTTAATGTTTGTTCCCTTTAAACAGTGGTTGTAGACAGAGATCCTGGGTTGAGGGAAAAGAATATAAATATATTAGAGGCCCGGTGCACGAACTTCGTGCACAGGTAGGGTCCCCAGGCCTGGTTGGCGATCAGGTCTGACTGGGGCCTTCGGGCTGCAGGCTGGGACCTTTCTTCTGACTGCCAGTCAGGGCCTCCCTTCCCTGGCTGCCAGCTGCTGGCCAGGGACTTCCTTCATTCCATGCCGCCCCCTGGTGGTCAGTGCATATCATAGGGAGCCATTGAACTCCTGGTCTCCACATATATTGGCCCCATTCTCTTCTCCCCCAGCAGGAAGCTCCTGAGAGCAGTGTATTACAAAGCGAACTGTCCTCTTAGCGTGGACTAGGATTAATTTTCCATGACGCCTGATCAGCTGTTAGCCTTGGGTAACCCATGTCACCTATCTGGACCCTGGGGGCCCCACCTTATCTGCCTGAGATGAGGAATCAATAATCTTGTATCCTCCAGAGGCCAGGCCTGTGGTCGTATCTCACGACTTCTAGTAGGAACGCTGTGGGTGACGACCTCTGTGTCTTCGGAGCCCTGTTCTCCATGTCTGGAATGTTCTCATGGTCTCAGCTTCTGTTCATCCTCCAAGACTGACACAGCTCTGTGAAGCCTTTCCTTACCGTCCTTCCCGCCGTCATTGTTCCTGCCGTGCTCACCCGTGCGCTCTGTGCATTCGGCCACAGCAGCACTTAACATCCCTTCAGACCTGCCTATGGTCTCCACGAGGTGATTCACAGCCTGGTACTTGGGATTCCTCTGAACACGTTACAGCAGCCTGGTGTTTCCCCAGGGGAGGGCGTAGCTAGCCGTGGCAGACAGAACTCTCCCGCTAAGGTTTTCAGGGAACAGGGAAGCAGTAAGTGCCCACCTGCCATTTATCATCCAGCGCTTTAAATTATTCACATCGATTTCCAATCCCCGCAGATTGCCTGTGATCACGTGAGTACAGACAGCCTGGCTACGGACTCCAGCTCCGCGAAGAAGCCCTGGTCGGTTTGTCTTGATGACAGGTTTGGCTTAGCTCATCAAATCCGCAACAAGCAGTGCCGCCTCTACTCTTTAGGGTGAGTACCTTTCACAGCGGACGAGAACAAAAACACTGCTGCAGGCGGCCAGGGTCTTTCCACAGGCACAGAATTATGAATGGGGGCAGAGTGTGGCAGGGGCCGTTCAGACCCATCTGTCTGTGATTTAACTGCGGGTCCTTGCAGTTCACCCGAACTGGTCAGGGCCGCTTCCTCATTCTGCAGGGAGAGAGTTGGCAACTTCGGTTTTCAGCCTCATGAGGATCCTCTTGGTGAAGTCAGTGATTTCCAGTGAGAATTGGGGCATCCTTATTGTAAAGAAAAAGACAAATATTAAAAGTGCACCTAGAGAAAAGGAAGAACAGGGAGTGTATTAGACATTTTATGCACAGTCTGATGCGTGGCCCAAGGCAAATGGCCACGATTGGACTTTCATGTTTTGTACCAGTGGTAAATCTGGATATATTTTTTCCATTACAAAAGAAAGAAAAGGAACTTCTTATGAAACCACAGATTTTGTCAGAACAGTGGGAAATATTGATATCCAGTCACCCAGGCTGAAAATGACCTAAAATGTACACATTGATTTAGAGAGCTCTTTGTAGAAGGGTGAAGATAAGGAAACAAAACTATTCCACCAAATACACCAGTGCTCATTAAACAGTCCCGAGCTTGCAAATGGTGTTTGTCCAGAAAAGCCAGGAGAGAGTTGTTTTCGTTTGGAGCACCCTGTGCATAGAAGCTTTGTGCAAGCCATGCAGCTAGGTCCTCAGGCAAGACCTTCACAGAAACACCGGGGACCCCAACAAGTGTCATAGGCTTGCTCCTCACCAATAGGTCTCATCCCTCTCAGACTTACATTCAGGCCCATGAGTGACAGCTGCACACCAGAATCCTAGATGGTAGGTGTTAGGGGTAGACACTTGGGCGACGTGGAGGCCTACCCACAGGTGCTGATGCCTGGAGGATAACCACTGCTTGTAAAAGGTTACCAAAGCAAGAATTGTTAAGGATAGTCACCATGGGTTTAAACACAAACACACACACACACACACACACACACACACACACACACACGTTTCAAATAAGAGTTTCAGGATAATAGAAACATTCTTCTGTGGGTTAAATGAAGCATATCAGTGGAGCTTGATAAGAGCAAGCACTCAGTGTATACAGGATGTCCCCCCAAAATGTATACACACTTCGAATACAATGGCAAAGGCAGTATTTTCTTTTCATTGAACAGCTATCAGCTGCTAAAGTGTGCACACCTTTTTGGGGACACCTGTATTTGCTCCATCGATGGTTGTTGAGGTAAGGAAACTAAGGAGGGCAGCTGGCTGGCTATGCTGTGACTTAGACTTGGAGGCCCGAGGAAATAAATTGCCCAGCCAGCTGATTAGAACAGAGCGTTTTCACTGAGATCCCAGCCACTCTGCTTCAAGAGTGTAGGAAGAATGGGAAGTTGTGACAGGAGAGATTATTTTATATCAGATTAAAAATGTATGAAAGTTGGCCATAAAAATAATTGCTTGTACCACATGCAAATTGGTGATCTCAGCTTATTCTTATTTTCTTGCTCCAAATTGCTTTTATATGTTGCTTAATATTTTACACCCCGGAATAATTTCATTTAAAGCATATAACTGAGTAAAATGGAACTGGGAAAGCTGTTTTTGGAGAGATTTTTAAAATCCCTTCTTGCTTTCCTCATACGTCAGAGCCATTAGATAAGATGGTTCTTCTGTAAGATATCTGATTATTACATGGAAAAAGGTAGTTTCTTATTTTCATGTAAATGTTCACTATTCAAAATCAACTTTATAAAGAGCAGATAAGAAAAGATGAATTCCCCTGGCATTAGAAATGAATAAATTATGAGGGCCCATATTTGAAGATGCTTAATTGAAAACTGGAAACAAAAGAAACCATTTCTTATGCCCTAAACAAGGATGCTTTGGATTGTGGGTGGTGTATATGCCGATCACTGTTACAGGACTGAGGGTCCAGGCAAGCACCCCCCTTTCCCAGGTGAATCGCTTGCTCGGGGGATGGGTGAGTAGCAGCTGGCAGCATCTCAATTGATGCTGAAGGAAGAAAGAAGCCCCGGGCAGAGTGGTGCTCCTGGGATGAGGTGCCTGGGCTCCCCGTGGTGGGAGTGTTGGGACAGTGGTGAAATAGGTGGGGAGGGCAGGTGGCAGGTGGGCCCCTACATCCTGGCAGCCTGTGCTCCAAGCCCCAGGGCTGTGGCAGCAGCAACAGCGTGCCACTGCTGTGCCAGTCACTTTCTTCCGATCAGAGGATGATGGGTGCAGCTGCAACTGAGGGTAACCTTCCTGAGTGAGGAAGGAAGGGACCTGAGGACCTGAGGACCTGAGCGTCAGAGGACACAGGCTGACTGCCCTGGCTCCTGGTCTGTTTCCTATCCTTCCTCCATTCCCAAGAACTGGAGCAGGCATCACCTCCACCTGCTCTCTGAAGTTTCTGTAGTAGGAACCAAAGCTTTTTATTTTAAGTCCTGAGAAAGGACTCCCCCACGCCCCTCCCCGGGAAAGTGTACTCTGTATGAAGGTCAGTTGAAATTAAAGTCAGATCCTTTTCAGTTTTGAGATGAGTAGCATACAGCAATTAATACAGCACTGACAAGGAACATGATGTTAGGGAGAAGGGAACTGAGACATGAGAGGCTGTGGGTTCAGGTGATAACGTCATCTCCCATGGAACTTGAGACGCGTCAGCCCTGCAAGTCCTTCTGCATGTAGAGTGGAGGGTGATGGCGGGAGCAGGTGGAGGTGGGCGTGAAGGGAGAGGACACACAGTGAGGTGGGCGTGAAGGGAGAGGACAAGGTAAATAAGAATGTCGAAGTGGAGAATCTAGGAGGCTGGGGGCTGAGGGAGGTAGTGAAAGTGAACTGAGGGAAATCACCTAGTTCACCCTTCATGTGAAATTTCAGGGGTAGGCGTGTGAGTGGAAGGGAAAACTTGAGATGGGATCATGTACAGGCAGATGTTTATCATCTCTTCTTTAGTTCTCTGGGAGAGGGGGTTGAAGATATTAATTTGGTTTTAAGACATTAATTCTCAGCATTAGACAGAAGAAGATTTGATAGATGACATACGGTTAAGCAACAAGAGCAATATTTTATATAGAAAATCTGGGACTTTGGTTGCCATGAGCATGTCAAGAGCAATGACTGATCTCCAGAGCCAGACACTGTCCTCTTATACTAGTGTAATTAACCAGGAGCTCACAGAATGTACGAATGAGGAATCAGAAACCGTGGACACAAGGAAACTTCTGAGATAATTTTTTTCCTAATCACCCCCTTGGAACTTTAATACCATAGGTATATTATGATCTGTTTACACACACACACACACACACACACACACACACACACACACACACACATATAATATAAAAGAGTAATATGCAAATGCAAATGGACTGAACGACCAAATAGCAGAACGACTGTCAGGACGACCTTCCGGGTGACCACACTATGACACACACTGGCACCAGGCCAGCCACGGCGGGTGTGATGTGATTGGTTGGGGAGCTCTGCCATTGCCCCACAATCAGCCCACAGAGGGAGGCCCAGGCCACTCTCTGCACAGCGACTGATAGCGGAGCCCCAGCCGGCTGGGCGATGAATCGTAGAGGGAGGCTCAGGCTACCTGTGGCAGATATGTGGGGCCAGCCAAGTGATGGCACCCCATGCCTGCCGCCCTCCGAGGGAAGCACCTGGTGGCGGGGGAGGGAGGGCAGCGTTGCACGGATGGCAAGCAGTGGCAGCGGTGGGAGTGGGGTCAGCTGCCAGCAGCTGGCGGAAGGAAAGTCCCCATAGGCCCTGATCACTGGCCAGGCCTAGGGACTCTACCAGAGGGTCCTAGATTGTGAGAGGATACAGGCGGGCTGAGGGACACCCTCCCTCATGCACTGGGCCTCTAGTATTATGTAATATATAATAATATCTATCTATCTATATATAATATAATAATATCTCTCTATATAATATATAATAATATCTCTCTATATAATATATAATGATATCTCTCTATATAAGTGACCATTGCAACTGGATAATTATTTGTCCAGATTCTCTGATTCCTGCTGGCATGAAAAATGAACTCCTGAATCTCTTGGCAAAAAATGCTAATTGTCATAATATTTTACATAATGTAACATGTATCAATACTTCATTCCTTTTAATTGCCAAAGGATAGTGCATTGTATGGATATATTGCATTTTATTTAGCTACTCATCAGTTGATGGACATTTGGGTTATTTTCTCTTTTTTGGCTATTATGTATATACTAGTGGCCTGGTGCACGAAATCCGATGGTCTGAGGCTCTATAACAGCAGTTCTCAACCTTTCTAATGTTGCGACCCACAGGTTGAGAACTGCTAGTAGGGTCGCCTAAGACCATTGGAAAACACAAATATTTACATTATGATTCATTAACAGTAGCAACAAAAATAATTCTATGGTTGGGGGTCACCACAACATGAGGAACTGTATTACAAGGTCATGGCATTAGAAAGGTGGAGAACCACTGCTTTAGGTAGTCATTCTGCCACACCAGATTAGATCATGGAAAACTTAGTGGAGACTACAGTATTCTGAACTGTGTGGGTTCAGTAAGAGATTGGGAATCTGAAAAGGAATGGGAGGCTTTGTGAGGGGAGTGCTGAACTTCTTTCCAGGCCAAAGGATAGAGAGGACTATAACTGAGGGACATCAGAGGGCTGGCAGGCCATGGATCCAGTGAAGAAAAGAGCAGTGAGGTGGGCGTGAAGGGAGAGGACAAGGCAAATAAGAATGTCGAAGTGGAGAATCTCTGCATTGAAAACTCTTTTGTACTTAATGAGAACAGGGTAAATAATCGTTATCCAGTGAGCTAGTATATTTCAAAGTTGTGAAGTACTCTGAAAGAGTAGAGTCTAAGAGAATGAAGTATTTCTTCCCTGGGTTCAGGTTTGGCCCAGGTATTATAGAGACTCCGTGGTATTTTTGGTTCCTTAAATCACATCTAATTATAGTATTTGGGGCAGAGAAGCCATAATCACCATTAAAAAAAATTATCTTCTCTCAGTTAATGTTTTCATTCAAATTAATGCTTTAATCAAAGTGGTGAACATTATGTCACTAAATAAGGAATACTTTTGAGTAAATTAAAAATTTTAAGTATATGAATTTTGCACATGATGTGCCACTTACTAGGTACTTAAGTCTAATTTCTCTCTCCTGTTGGTGTGAATTTTAGGTGAGGTATCTCTTCTGCTTCTTGATTACTGGATCCAGTAGGACCATGTACATTTGCCTTTTGTTTACAGTGATATTTTCAAGTACTTTCTATTTCCAAGAAAACAGCTGCTGTCCTTAAGACAAACTGCATGCACAGCACTGTGGTCATTGGGATGGAGACGAATCACCTCATTAGTAGAATGCACCTCTCCCTAAGGCAGTGATCGGCAAACTCATTAGTCAAAAGAGCCAACTATCAACAGTACAATGATTGAAATTTCTTTTGAGAGCCAAACTTTTTAAACTTAAACTATATAGGTAGGTACATTGTTACTAACTTAATTAGGGTACTCCTAAACTGGCCTTTGCTAAAAACTCAAGGGGACAAAGAAGTTTGCTGACCACTGCCCTAAGGGGACTGATCCTGGGGTTTATTATTTTTGACGTGTTTTGAGGAAATCTCTTAAGACAGCTGGGTAATCTTTGCTTCATTGCTACTATGGTTTACATCTTAACAAAAAACCATTTGATATGCTTCTGCATGTTGAACGTGTGATTCTCTGGTCTGTGTCTGTTCAGCAAGTCATTTCCCTCTTCTCTGTAATCCAGAAGCTTTCGGCCATCGTGCTGTTTGTGAAAGAAGGATTATTGAATGTGTACAGTTAGCCACGTGTTAAAAGAGGAGAAGGCTTGATGTAATGAAGAAAATTGACCTTGGAATTGTCACTTTGCCAACCCAACACTTTTTGCTTCCCTACCTGTTTTTGTGTGTTGATTTCCATCCTCTTCTCTTTCTCCAGGCTGGGAAGTGATGACACCCAGTTTGAGGTTAGCATGGCCAACAACGGATGTGAAGTGCATCGTTTTGATCCCAGTGTTAAGTCTGCTCATATCCTGGAGAGTCAGCGCCTCTGGCACCACCGCTTGTCCATCGACTGGCGGGACCCCCATCCAGCCGTTGCTGCCCAAAAGCCGCATAGCAACACCAGAAAACTGGGGACCATTTTGAATGACTTTGGGCATCACAAGGTGAGAATTTTTTCATTTGATTTCATAATCAGGTAAAGTGAAAAAACTCATAAACTGTGTGTGTGTGTGTGTGTGTGTGTGTGTGTGTGTGTGTTTTAAATACAACCCTAAAAATTGGATACTTGAAGGTCCAGTTTAAAAAAATTATTTTTTGAATTACTCTTGACATTCAGCATTATCTTGTATTATTTCAGGTGTACAGGATTGGGGTTAGACCATTATATTTTTCACAAAGTGTGATCCCACCAATATTTCCAGTACCTACTTAGTATCACACATAGTTATTACCATATGACTGACTATATTCCCAATGCTATACTTTATGTCCCCATGACTGTTTGGTAACTAGAAGTTCCAGCTTTAACTTTACTCATTTTCCGACATTATTTATAGAGTCAACTCTGTAAACCTAAGGCTTTGAAATATTGATATTGTAGGAATATTTATATTGAGTAGGGTTAAGTGAGGTTTTGGCTGAGACTGGACAGGGAGACTCAGAAACCTACTCCTAGCATAGGCTCCAGCATACCGTTTCCGATGGGCAGTTGATTTAAAATTTCCAGACAGAGGAAACGACTTATGTTAGCCTCACATACAAAAAGTAATCAGAGTCGGGCTTACGTTTGATAACAGATTGCTTGTGTATCGTATTTCTCATTATTGTAACAACTATTTTTGAGTCTCCAGGCTCTGAAAGGTTAGAAAAATATGTGTAGCTTTGATTAAAATGTACTTTGTAGAATTGAATGGACATTATGTGTGTTGCACCTGAGATACTTATGTTCAAAGGATGTCAAATCTCTATAAATATTTTATTGTGAATGGATAGCAAAAAAGAGACTCCCAACTTTGAACTGTGTTCCTAAAAGCAGAGTGGAGCTAGTTGCATTTAGTAGGGAGATACTGGGAAAATTCTCCTGAGTGTAGTTGTCTTCTGTTTGATCGCCAGCCTTCTGGGCTTGCCCTATCATGGCCTATTATTCCCAGCCAGAGACGGCATGTAACTTAGAACATGCCAGAATGGGTATTTGGGAGAAACAGTGTATAGTGGGCTCAATTTTAAACTTGAGTTTGCTGTTTGATCTTTAATAAAAGGGCTTTTCCACTGCATTGTTCTCCCCCACTTCCTTTTTCTCCTCCTCCTCTTCTTCAAAAAACAAAAACAAACAAAACAAAAACACCAAACTCCCTTTAATTCAACAGGAGTTTCCTTAAGAAGAACTTCAAAGAACCTTCTCTTCTTTTAACATGTGATTAACTACTGATTTGTATTTTGCTTTGCCAATGAGAGTAACTAGCATTTAATAGTTAGAAGCCTTAATGAAAAGAATATAGTATTTTCTGGGTAAAGCCTGTGAACAGAACCCCAAGAACTGAGAGCATGCTTTAGAGCTTTATTTCGTCTTTGCTGCTTCTTAGTTTCATAGACCTGCTTTTTACAATTGAAAATGACAGGCTTGCTCTCGAATATGTCAACTCTAGATTATCCCAAGAGCTAACTATTGACCTTTGTGCTTATTGAGGCGTTTTCCTGCTTCTCCTTAATGTGCTTTCCATCCTGGCCCCACGTACCACCACTCTTTAAGAAAAGACCAAATAGAGGAAAGAGGTGAAGCTTAAAATAATTTTGCCCACCCACTCCCATAATATTTTTAAAACTTTGGAATATGTGAGGATAAAAATGAGACTTTGAAAAACGATCAGTGGCTATCATTGATTTAAGCCATATTGCCTATGGAAAATGTGTTCTTAGACAACCAGATTTGCCCCTGATGTGTGCTTGTTTGACTCCTTGGGAGCTGAAGTCGGCAAACCTGTCTGCTGAGGATGAAGCAGGCAGCCTTCAGCACTGAGCCTGAAACAGCAGAAACATCTACATCTCCGGAAAGGAGACGTGTTCTGGAAAATTCCTTGTGTTCCAAAGGCTACTTATTTTTATTAAAAACACGAATAATGTCACTTAAAAATAGTTAAGGTGGTAATTTTTATGTGCATTTTACCATAATAAAAAAACAAAACTAAAAACAGGGGGGAAAAACTCTAGTAATAATGAAAGTGATCATGTCAGAATGTTTTTGCTGCTTTAAAAAAAACACCAGCTCTTGTTGATAATTTTTAAAGAGACTGACATTCTTCTGTGGAGATGATTTCTGGGGAACGCTTTAAAACAAAACAGAGCCCGTCAGTGTGCCTTGGCTTCCTTTAGGAACACGCTTCTGGGAGCGATGTGATACCAGATAAAGGGAAAATTCATTTCTGGCCTGAAGCGTGCGACGGCTGTTTTCATTTTGCTGCATGCGCACAGATACTGGTAAATAGGACATGGCTCTGGCAGGGAAAGCAAATAGAAAAAACAACTCACACTGAAACATGGATTGCTTTTTACCTTGCCTTATTTTCTCTCTTTCTCCCCGCCCCCCTGAAAGCAGCTATAGAAACCAAAGTGGTGTTAGTTGTGTTGTTTTCACTTCATGACTTTAAAACATCTCCTATAATAGCTTCTCCATGTTAACTTGTTATTTTTCTTTTTCTTTCTTTCTTTCTTTTTTTTTTTTTTTTTTTTTTTTTTTTTTTTTTTTTTTTTTTTTTTTTTTTTTTTTTTATCAGACCTCGATTCTAGCCACTCAGGCAGAAATGTCGGCAAAATGAAAAGCCGCATTTTGAGATGGTGACAGAAAGATGCATATGGCTTTCTCAGTACTTTTAAAACTCCCTGGTAATTTTTACTTCAGACTATAAATCAAAAATCTTTCTAAAGCATCAAGGGAGAGCAGCTGCCTCAGCAAAAGCTTGAGAACCAGAAGCTCAGTCTGTCAGGGAATAATTTCACCTGAATCCAGCATTATCTGAAATGATTAACTGTCTTTACCCAACTGCTTGTTGCTGTAACTACACATTAGAATTTTTCCAGAATATGACTAGAAATATTGGATCTGAAGTTTCTGCACATATTAATCATAATCTCTGCTTTCCCCCCAGAAGGTCTTGATTACACAGAGTATGCTAAATGATCCAGGCAGGTTCATGGTAAATTATTATTTCCAGTCTCAACCAGGCTGATGAGATGAATAACAGGACTGCATTAGAGCTTACCTCTGCAAGTTCATTAGTCTAGGTTTGAGACCTGGGTCCTCTTGTTGGTTTTTGGCATTGGGCAAGTCTTAAATGACTCTCTGGTGCTCAGTTTGATTGTCAATAAAACTGGGACAGTGATACCACTTAAATAAAAAAAAAATTTTTTTTCTGGATTGGGCCAGAAAACGGTGTGAAAGGCTTCAGCAGAGTGTCTGGCATGAATTAGTCATTTGTTTGTAAGTTCAAAGAATTTTTATGAACAGTTTCAGAAAATGTGTACTAAATTTCATAGAAAATATCTTCTTGCCCTATTTTCAGGGAAAAGACATGGGAGAATTTTTTCTGGAAATTGTTAACTGCACCTAATTCCAGTCAAGAGTTTTAAATGGATGTTTTGTGTGAAGCTGAAGGACAATTGGGCCTTCATCGTGGTTGTTGGAAACTGTTATTGTTTGCTGCCTCAGGTGCTGAACAGCTTTTGCTGTGATTGTCCAGAAAGTAAATAGAATGTACTAAGCTGCTGAAGAGTAATACAGAGCAGACGTAACCTGAGGGGGTGACCGGGTAAAGCTGGACTTCCCGCATGCTCAGTGCTGAGAAAGGATGGGGTCCTCCTTCTCCTCTCTGGATGTTACCCCAGCCGATGAGTGTCCCCAGGGGTCCTCACAGGAGGGCAGTCTCTGCTTTCCTGGGCTGGGGGCTCCCCATGAATAACAAAACTTCATTTCCGCCTGGCTGGCATGGCTCAGTGGTTGACTGTTGATTTATGAACCAGGAGTTCATGGTTCAATTCCAGGTGAGGGCACACGTGAGCTCCATCCCCAGTAGGGAGCGTGCAGGAGGTAGCACATCAATGATTCTCTCATCATCGACGTTTCTCTTTCTCTCTCCCTCTTCCTTCCTCTCTGAAATCAATAAAAATATGTAAACAAACAAACAAAAAATCCCCCCCCCCCAAAAAAAAACACACATCAGTTCTGTTGTGTGGTCACTGCTGAGAGAATATGGGCTTGAAATTCAACTACTGAAAGATTCCTTTTTGCTTGTCAGATTGGCAGATATAAACCACATATTGAGCTGCCCTACATTGGAGTGCTTGGGAATAATACTCATGCTTAGCTGCTGGAAATGGAAAACGATAGCACTTTCTGGAAGAAAACTCAACCATGTGTACCAGTATCCATGATGATACTAGTAAAATTCTATTTCATCTGCAATTAGTTCTGCCATTCCAGCTTTTTTGGGGATAAGTTTTTAAGAATGCCATTCTAAATTCCTTTATTTTCAGTTTTTGGATATTCTTTTAATTTATGTAGCATATAAGAGTGACATTTAGTATATGCCTACATTATGTTTTTAAATCCAATCTGATAATCTCTGTCTTTAAATATGTGTGTTCAATTCACTTAGTTCATAGTAATTGAGATTAATTTTTACTCTTTTAAATTGGGCTTTTTGGTTTTCAGTACATTTTTCTCTTCTTGTCAAAGCTTATTTTTTTTTTTATTCTTTGTGGTTACCTTTAAATTTTAAATGTATATAATTATAAAATTTTAAAAGAACATATAAAATTATCAATATTTTTATATTCCTCCTAAATACAACAAGGATTATAGCAAGTTAACTGCCCATTTAACATGGAAACACCCCCCCCCCAAAAAAAAACACACACACAACAAAAACAAAAAACACAACACACACACAAAAAAACCCCACACAAGATGGCGGCATAGGTAAACGCCTAACTGCAGCCTCACACAGCCATTTCAAAAAATACAACTAAAATATAAAGTGGACATTATCCAGAACTACCGGAAAGTTGACTGACTGGAAATTCTACAACAAAGAAGGAAAGAGAAATTCAGAAGGAAAATAACATGGAACCTCACATGGTTTTTTCTGGAGGTTGTTTTTTAAAAAAATAT